GGATCAAACTCATGACCTTGCACTTGCAAGGCAGTGGTGGCACCACTGAGCTAAATCCCCAGCCCAAGAACATGTACAGACTTTCTACACTGTCATTTCCTAAAAACACATCGGCTATTTACATAGCATTTGCATTGTATTAGGTATTATAAGTTATCCAGAAACCCTTAAAGCATACAGGAGGACGTGCCTAGGTTATACATATATGCAAATACAATGCCATTTTATATCAGGGGCTACAGCACCCATAGATCTTGGGCTCTTTGGGGTTCCAGAATCAACCCTCCACAGATGCTAAGGGATGACTATACTCAATTCTGCTGCTGAGGTAGGAAAACAGCCACAGGCAAAATGTAAACAAGCAGGAGTGGCTCTGTTCAGATAAAGCTTTATTTGGAAAAACATGATGCTAGATTTGCCTCCTGGGGATTATAATTTGCCAACCTCTCAGTGACTCTAAAGGAATAAAAGCTGCTGTGTGGAAAGACTTAGCTGCAAGGATGATTATTACATGGCTTTCATTAATTTTCACATTCAGTTTAATAAAAATAGTATACATATATAGGCCAGCTAGAAGAAACGGACATAAATTTGATTTTTTTTGTATGATGAAACATGATATAGCCATTTAAAATTATGCAGAAAAATTATAATCGCAGCACTTTGTGGGGCTGAGGCAGGAGATAAATTCAAGTCCTTCCTGGGCAACTTAGTGAGACCCTGTGTCAAAATATAAAATGAACGGACCTGGGGATAAAGCTCAGCTCCTAGGATTGCTCCCCCATCACACACACACACACACACACACCTGGAAAATTATATGGCTACATAAGTATATAGAATCAAGCAAGTGAGAAAATAGTACATAAATAAAATATTAGAACTATTAAGGAGTTTAATCAGGTTGTCATAATAAGAACGGCACCAAAAATGATTTTTTAAAAGGCCAGAATAAATGATGATATGAAATACATATTACATTCCTGGATGGTAGAGCTCAACATTGCAAAGAAGCCAGTTTCCTCCATCTGATGTGCAAATTCAAGTTCAAACACAATCTTTAGCAGGATTTTGAACAGAATTTGACAAAAAGACAATTCCGGAAGAAGAAATATCTAAGAACAAAAACCATTTTAACAAAGTATGATAAGGAAAGCTTTCCCTATCCGCTATCAAGCTATAAAGAAAAAGTAGCAAAACTGTGATTTCTGGCTTAGAAGCAGGTAAACAGATCAGTACAATAGACCAGAATCCAGAAAGAGAACCACGATATAAAAAGAAAGCTAGCATAGGATAAAGATGAAATTCCAAATGAGAGGAAAAAGGACTATTTGACAGTAGGAACTTGAATAGCTGGCAAAATTTGGAAAGTAAGAGTGGCCAGGTCACTATCTCCACCAAAATCCAAAAGAAGCTCCGGGTGGATCATAAGCTGGGCATGGTGGGGAATGCCTGTAATCCTAGCACTCAGGAGGCTGATGCAGCCTGGCAGACAGGAGAAGATGGAGAGGAACCCAGAGGGACAGAGGCAGGTGGAGAGTGTGGCCAGGGCCCTTGAGAGGAGGAAGTGGGCTCTCCCGGGCCATAATTTCTGGTAAAACAGTACAACAGATTTAACACAGACTTCTTGGGAGAAAAGTTTGGTTGCATCTATTCAAAAGGAAAAAACAGAATCATCAACTTAAAATTTATTAAAAAATAAAACCTGCATACCCTTTGATACAGCAATTCCATTTCTACATCTGATCCTTAAGGGTGCTTGCCGTGGCATTGGGTGTGAAGGAGAGGAGCTGGGCTGGGCCCACTGCTGGGAGGGGACCTCATGTCACTGTGCAGCACAGAGGGAATGGTCCTGGAGGCGAGGGTGAGGCAGTGCTGGAGCACCCAGGTCCCCCTCAAGGCTGGGCAGAGGGAGCCTGAGCAGGTCTTCATGGATGAGCAGAAGGGAGCCCATGACAGGGACAGCCCAGGTGAGAGGCAAAATGTGTGCCAAGGCTCAGCAACAAGGCAAAGCAAGGCCCTTTTCGAAGGACAGGAGAGGTCGCTGTTGCCAGCTTTGGGGTGTGAGCCATCCCACGCTGAGAGATGAGACAGAGAAAGCAGGTAGGGGCTGGTGGCGGATTTCATCCCCTGGTGAGGAGGGCCCACAGGAGGGGCAGCTGGATCTCACAGAGCTGTGACGCTTTAACTCATCCCCTGCAAAGGGGCAACCACGGCCCCCAGAAATTATCCTCTTGCTCTGAGACCTTCTGGGGGGCTCCCCACTTCAATGTTACCCTCCCCATGGGGGCTCTGCACATATGCAAAATTAAAGGAGCCCACTGGGCAGCCTTAGAACAGGTCCACCTCAGGAAAGACTCTCAGGGCATTTCTCGAGCCCACCACCTGGGGGCGCCATCCAGCTCCCAGGGTCCCCTCTGACCAGGCTACACTTCCTGGATTGGGAAATTCAATCAATAGCCTGTTGGGATTACCAAACCCTCAGTGACCTCTTCCCTGCAGGGCACCGCAAGCTCTGAGGACATGGGCAGGGCAACCAACACCCTGCAAGGCCAGGAGCTGGGGCAGCACAAGCGCCAACCACCCAGGGATGGACCTGCACATGAGCAGGGTGCTCTCAGGTGCGGGAAAGCAGCTGCTTACCTGCCAGCCTACCCTAAAGCATTTCACTGTTTTAAGAAGACCAGAAGCCAGTGGTGATGTCAAGTCTCCACACCCTGGGGGGAAGAGCAGAAAGGGGGGCCTCATCTCTTCAAAAACGGCTCACCCATACACCAGGGGGCTGTGCTCCTGCTGTCCCACCCGTATCATCCAGGCAGCTCTCCAACCTTTCCTTGGATATGGATTCCCTGGGGAAACTTGGGAAACACAGTGGACCAGGATCTCACTGGCTTCTAAGTCTCAGGCTGACCTCTAGGGGATGGGAGGGACACAGCAGGGCACTGAGGGCCAGCCGACAGGATTACGATGTGTCTCAGGCTGGCCCTCTAACCCCCTCCTCCTTGATACAGAGTCTCACTATGTAGTTCTGGTTGGCCTTGAACTCATTATAGAGCCAAGACAGGCCTTGAACTCATGGCAATCCTCCTGCCTCAGCCTCCCAAGCACTGGGTACAGGTGAGTGCCACATGCCCTGCTGACCCCTCTTCTGAAGAGCTATTCTGCCCGGTAGGCTGGCCTTTGAACTGCCCCCTTCACCAGCCCAAGTAGCCCAAGTAGCCAAGCTGCCCCATTCAGCGGGACCAACAAGATTACCTACTGCATCCACCCAGCCATCACCACTGTGCTGGACTCTGTACAGTAGAGCCACCTGTCAGGGCCAGATCTACATTTTGGACAGAATGGAGTTCACCTGGGGAATGTTTAAAACAAAAGCTACAAACACCCTAACAATTGCAAAGTCCCACAGGAAAATGCAGGGAAGCACTGGGTTGCTGAGATGCACTGACTGTCCTTCTCCCTTCCCAGAACCCTTGGCCTTGGGAGGGAAGAGAATATTGTGCTCCAGAGCTGTGTGCCCTCTCAGAGGCCAACTCCTCTGCACCCATTTGTCACTTTTCTCCAAGCATTGTCTCTTCCGGAAGTGTGGATGGCATGGTGTGGGGCCAGGACATGCAGGCCACAGCCCTGTTCCCAGGCACCGAGGGGGCACCTGGGCCTCAGCTCTACCCTGTCCTCTAGCTCCTCAGCTGCAGTGCTTTCTTTTTACATAATTTTGAATCCCCAGCCTCCAGGGGTAAAGGGGAAGATGCAAAGTGTCACTTCAGCACTGGTTTGTTTTCTCACTGAATCTTCACAGTGGACCCTGGAACAGTACGGCAAGCCCTGCCTTACAGCTGAGGAAACTGAGGCTCTGAGGGGTTGAGAGGAACTTTCCCGGGGTTGCATGGCTCATTGGTACCCAGTGTGGAGTAGGAACCCAGCTCTGGATGCACCCACAGCCCACCTCCTCCCTCCACAGCGTGTCCAGCAATCTGTGGAGGGGTCACTTGGAGCACTCAGTGTTTGCCCCAAGCTGGGGACCCCCTGTCCTGGCCCTGGTTCTGTTAGTGGGTGGCACATGGGCTGCTGGCCTTTCATGTCATCTTGACCCATCCTGGGGGCTCTCTTTGTGATTGTTGTACCCTGAGGTCCAGCTACCCTGGTCCATACCTACTGCCTAGCTTTGGTCTCTGCTACCAAATAAAATTTACAGGCGACCATTGGTTTGGACTCAGCTCAGCACTAGGCCCAGCAGACCAAACCAAAATGGAGCTGCTTATGCTGAAGTTTCATGCCAGTAGGCCAAAACTAAGTTGTTTCCCTGACCTTCTCAGAAATGGGAGAGAGAGAGAGAGAACAGAAAAAGTCCTAAACAGGTCAGCGTTGGTCATAATAATAAGGAAGTCCCTTCTGCTTCAACCCTTCCAAAAAACCAGAAGCAATCTAATGTTAACCAATCAGCTTAATTCTACTGTTCTGTTTCCTTGTTTCTAGCCAACAAAGCCCTGTGTGCTGCTAAGTAGTTCTGGTGAATTATCAAATGGGGAGCCATGGGAATCCCCAAATTTGTAGCTGGTGAGACAGAACCACAGCCAGCAGCTGACTGACCATTGACCCTGCGCTACCCCTGGGATGCATCAGAAAACTAAACTGCTGGACTTCTGGTTAGTGGGAGAGAACTGGAGAAATTGGGGAAAACACCACACAGGGATCCATCAGCTCTCTGTGGTGGAACAGGAGGAAAGGAAAGAGACTGCAGCCCGGCCCACGTGAGCTCAGGCCCAGCACTTCCCCTCCTTGTGACTCAGTTTCCCCTCAGCGGCAGCAGGGTGGAGCAGGATGCTCTTTGAAGACTCCTAGCTCAGACACTTGGGCTGTGACTCCCTGAGGGGCTTCACTGCACGCCCCCCAAGCCGTCTCTGGACTCTGCTGCCACAGGGCTGTCAGGCTGTCCTCTCAGACACCAGAAGAATGGCACAAAGGTGAGCAGAGCGCAGGAAGAGAGGCCAGTCTCCTACCTGCTCCAGGCAGTCGGGGATCTCGGGCGTGCACGGCAGCGTCCCTGCACTCTCCATGGACAGCACGTCCTTCAGCAGCTCCTCGCACCCTACAGCGGACAGAGAGACGATGACAGTGAGGGGCCAGAGGGGGAAACAGACAAGGGAGGGCGGGAAGAGGCAGGGAGAAAGCATGCCGGCCTTGTCCAGGTGTGCCTGGACCCGGACCAGCAGTGGGAAGTCCCCCAGGTCCTGGCCAGCTCCTCCTGCAGTCATCTCAGGGGGTGAGGGTAAAGAAAAGGCAGAGGAAAGAAGAACAGAGAAGGGGAGCCTTTTTCAGAGGGTCAGACAACAAGAGGGCACAGAGGAGGCCGGGGACTTAGCTCAGTGGTTCTGCCGCCTACCTTGCAAGCCAAGGACCCGGGTTCGATACCTGGTACCAAAAAAAAAGAAGGCGGCACAGAGGACCATCCCTTGGGTCCGGGTTTCTCTAACCCTGTGTTGGGCTCTGTGGCAGAGGTTCAGAGAGACCCACGTCCCATGAGGCCCTTCCCTCAGCCACCATGGCTAGCCAAGGACAGGGCCCACTTCCGGGACCCACTCCGGGCTCTGGGACCCAGGTCACACTGGCCTCCAGCGGGACAGGACGGGTGAGAAGACTTCCCACAGAGTCTCACCTTTCATGGCGAACACCCCACGGCAAAAGTCTTTGAAATTGATTTTCCCCAGGTCGTTGGGATCCAAATATTTCACGAGTTTTTCCACCTGTGAGAAGTAAAGGGGACACAAGTGAGACACCCAAGGGTCCCTGCAGGCCAGGACACAGGCAGGGGTGGGGAAGCTGGGACGGCGAGGTCCCAGCAACTGAGCCAAGGGGACACCAGCGTCCCCAACCAAGTCCTTTTCCCCCTGGGGTCCACATCAAGCCGCAGGCAGCTGTGGGGCCACTTTATTCTCCTCAGGACTGGAAGACGTAGACGAAGACAAGCCAACACCACTGGCTGCTCAGAAGCTGGGTTCCTTTCCATTGAACTTGCTGCTCCTGGCTCTGCCACTTTTTTTTCTTTTTAGTATGTATTTATCATACATGGTACTCACATTCATCATTGGGAATGTGTACCTGTACATAATATATCTTAATTCTTCTACCCCCCCCAACTCCCCTGCCCTCCCTTCAACTCTTCTTCCCCTCTCATTTACAGAAGCTTTGTTTCCATCTTTTCTTCTGTTGTTTTTTTGTTTGTTTGTTTGTTTGTTTGGTACTGGGGATCGAACTCAGGTCCTTGCGCTTGCGCAGCAGGCAGCGAAACCACTGAGCTAAATCCCCGACCCACTTCCGTTGTTTTTTAATCCCCTTTCCCTTCCTACCTTTCCCCTTTCCCCCTCCCTTGTTACCTTTCCCACTTGAACATGTTCATTCTACTTCCCAAGAATTATCCTCTATTTTGCTCCTTGTTTACCCTTAGGGTTTTTCACACAAGAGAAATGATGCGATATTTGAACTTATGTGTCTTATTTATTTCACTTAAAATCCTGGTCTTGAGTTGCATCCATTTATCTACAAGTGACTCAAGTTTACCCTTTTTTTTAAAAACATTTTTCCTCTTTTTTTAAACTGTGATTTTATTCTATTGTATTTTATTTATTTTTTTCCTTTTGAGACAGGGTCTTGCTTTGTAGTTCAGGCTGGCCCTGAACTATGTACCCCAGGCTGGCCCTGAACTTGCAGTTATCCTCCTGCCTCAGCCTCCCAAGTGCTGGGATTACAGGCATGTGCTACCACACCCCACAAGTTTATCCTTCTTTATGGCAGAGTAATACTCCATTGTATAAATACCACATTTTCTTTATCCATTCATCTGTTGATGGGCATATGGGCTGTTTCCAAGATTTAGCTATTATAAATTGTGCCGCCATGTTTTAAAACATGGTTTTTTTCACAAGAAACGAACACAAACTCATTACAAAAACCCTAGGGGGAAAAAACCCCTAGAAACCCCCTTTTCTCAAAAGACATAGGTTGTTGGGGTTTTTTTTGGTACCAGGGATCGAACTTGGTACCTTGCGAGGCAGGTTCAGTGTCACTGAGCCAAATTCCCAACAAAAGACATAGGTTTTTGCTCTTTATTTATACTTTGGGTTTCTCACATAAGAAAAACCATCCAATATTTAAACTGGTGTGTCTGTCTTATTCCACTTAACATTATGATCTCAAGGTACATAGTTTTAACCACATTTAAAAAACAAAACAAAAAAATCTCTGCATTTTGTGGTTCTGAAATCTTTGGTCAAATTCTCCTTTGGTGACAAGAAGAAGCATACCTATTAAACTGTTTAAAATTGCAAATTAAATGAAGTTTAAGGCCAGTCTAGATAGTGGCTCTGTGTAGGAATGCTGTAGGATGGGAAGTGCATGGGAAATGTCTGGGCTGTGGCTGAGTCTATTTTTGTTTTATTTTGTGGTCTCATGTTGCCCAGGCTGCCCCTGAATGCCCTGGCTCAAGTGATTCTCCTCCCTCAGCCTCCTGAGTAACTGAGACTACAGGTGCTTCTATTTCTTGAAATGGGCACTGGTGACACAGTAGAAACTCACTGACCCAGACACTTCTGACCAATGTACTTTTCGGTTCCCATTTTACATTAAACATCAATAAAAAGTGTTAAAAAGTACATTGGAAAGCAAGATTTAGCCCAAAGGAGTTGGCAGCTCCCAATGTCAGGGAGCTTCTTCCCCACAGAACCGTCAGTGATCAGAAACCCTCGTCCATACAGCAGTCGAGTGCAGCCCACGTTGCGTGTGAGTGGCTGTCAGATGCCCCGCCCGGGGCCACACCACCAGTCACTGGACCAGTTGGTGCTTCTGTTATTTCCAGCATTTTGTTAGTGCAGCTCATCCCTGGGCGTTTCTACAGCTGTGAGGGCCCATTACACTCTGGCCTCTGAGGTCTCTGTCTTCCTCACTGCCGGTCACTTCTCCACATCCTGCCTCAGCCGCCAAGTTCCTGGGATGACCCAGCCATTGTCTGCTCCAACAGCTCAATCAGGATTGCACTGTTGACCCCAGCCTTCCCTTCCTGCCACCGCACGGTCCTGGCTCCCTGGCATCACCAGGGCTGCTCCCTCTCCCCACACCCAATGCACACCTCGCTGTATCCCAGGCGGCCTGCTTCCCACATCACCCCTGACCACAGCCACTATAGTCTTCCCTCCTCGACCAGGCAACTCTCCTGATGCACCTAGCCTCCTCAATTTCCACCCCTCCAATTCCCCTTATACTCTAAATGGATCATGTCACTGGCTCCTTTGCTTAAACTCTTCAAGCAACTTCCTGTCACTTAGGATAAAATCCACCCCATTATGGCCCACAGGGTCCAGTGTGCTGCCCCTGTTTGGCCTCATCTCTTCTACTCGTCCCACTCATTGCCTCCCAGCTACTGACCCTCCAAGAGATCATGCTCCTTGCTGACTGGGGCCCTGGCCTACACCATCCTTTGGATCTGACCCAGGGCCTTGTGCATGCTAAGCACGTGCTCTACCACTGAGCTACACCCCTAGCTCAGGGCTTTAAACAACTTTTTTATCAGGACATAATGGTTACATTCATTGTGGGGAACTGGTGCATGTATGGAACACATCTCAATTCTCTTTTTTTTTTCCTTAGCTCAGGGTTTTTTCGTTTATTTGTTTGTTTTAGGAGACAGGGTCTCACTATGTTACCCAGGCTGGCCCCAAACTCCTGGGCTCAGTGGATCCTCCTGATTCAGCCTCCTGAGTAGCTGAGGTTACAAACTTGCACTGCCAAGCACATCTCTATTCTCTACATCTTGAGCCCTTGTGCTCTCCCTTCAGCATCTGGCAGGGTCGTCTGTTCATTCTTCAGGCCTCCTCTGATCTCTATTAAATGTCCCCAGCCCACAAAAGCCTGTTCTGACTACGCCGATCTGATAAAGGCTGCCCTGCTGGTACCCCTTCTGGTAGTACCCTGAATGTGCCTTCAGACTGCTTGTGCAACTTGTAATTATATGTTTAAGTGATCATTTGAGGGATTTATATCTCCCCTTCTGCAGAGTAAGCTCCCTAAGGGCAAACAGCATATCTATTTTGATTATGACTGGATACCTGGTAGTTTACCATGGCCAGCAGGCATCTAGCAGGAGCCTTATAAGTGTTTGCTGAATAAAATAATATAAATGCCTATACAGAACAGCTAAGCTGTTAAGGCTCTTTTTTTTTTGGTACCAGGAATTGAACTCAGGACCTTGCGCTTGCGAGGCAGGTGGCAGAACCACTGAGCTAAATCCCCAGCTGTTGTTAAGGCTTTTAATAACAGTTGCCAAATTGTTCTGTCTGAATTTAGTCCTCATCAGAGTCAGCTGAATTCAATCTTGCCAGCCCTGGGTATTTTTTTCTCCTCCTAGTTTTTGGCAATGGCCGATTTTGTAAGAAGTATCTTTCTAATTAATCTGGGGCATTTTCCCCACCAGCCTATAATTCGGGGGCAGCCTCTCCACAGCACACATGTCAACATTCATTCATTCACTCGTTGTAGCAGCATCTCCTGTTGTAGCGTCTCCTACGTACCTGCTTGCCCTGCTGGCTAATCACACACAGTCACATGGACACACGCATGTGCAGTCCCACTTATTGGCAGTGCCCTGCCCTCTCCCTAGCAGTCACCATCAGTATCTGCAGCACAGCAGAGCCAGACAAGCTGTCTCCATAACCCTCTCGGGCTGAGCTGCAGATGATGGATAGGAGAGCACTTGGGAACCCGCAGAGCCCAGCACGTGGGAAAGGATTCCTGCTACTGCTATGATTGTTCACACCATGACAGGGAGACCTGCCTACCTCCCACTCTTTCTGTCACATGCACCAAAGCCCAGTCATGCTGGTAGATTCAACTATTCACAGACTGAGTTTTTCCTGCTTCCCCACAAGATACTTTTGCAGCATGGCAGCTGCAGCAGGGATCTGAAGCCCTGGGCACAGTAGCCTGGCATCATGGGGCCAGGCCCAGTAGGCTCTGGAATATGAGCAACGGACAAAGAGCCCCTACCAGCTCCTCCCTCCTGAGCTTGATGGCTCTGTTGCCAATACCTCCATCCCAGCCAGCCCTGCTTCTCCACCATGATGTGGGCCTGGGGCTGAGGATGGCAGAGAAGCTGTGTAAGGTACTCTGTGAGATGCCCCTGAACTTTGTACCTCCTGGGGTCTTGTAGAGGCCTACAGAGCTCCAGCAAGGGAAGGAAGCCTCTTTGCCAGCTCCCACCTGACCAGAGCGGCTCAGCAGTGCAGCTGCCACCCTCCACCCCCACCCAGTCACCATAGCCTGACACTGCCAGGCAATGATGTGGCTTCTGAGGATAGCAATGCCCAGGTGCCCTCTGCAGGTTGGTGGGAGCCCACACATAGCCCCACCCGGCAGTGGCCCTCATCTACTCCTGTGCTCTCCTCACCAGCACTGTAGGCAGTCTATGAACGCAGGGATGGGTCGGGCACCCCACACCCCTCTGCCTCCAAGTGTGCACTCCTCTCTAGTCCCCTCCAAGGTCAGGAGCTGTGCCCCAGTGATCTCTGAGGCCTCTGTCCCAAACAGTCATGATGAGCCCCCGACTTCAAAAGCACCTAAGAGTCTGCAGGGTTCTGCCATCCATGGATTCAGATCCTGGAATCCGCAAGTCTGTATCTCCCCAGGGATGGGGGACATGGCCAAGACAGACTGCTCATCCCCCTTCCACGAAAGCCAGCCCAGAACAGGCAGCAGCTGGAGGTGTTTGATGATGACAGGCAGACAGACAGGGTCCTGTGTGCATAGTCTGCACTCGGGGTGCACAGACAGAGTGCATAGTCTGTGGAGCACCCTGAACCATGGTCCAGTTGGGGGCCAGCTGCAGTAGCGAGTTCTTCCTGCGGTGACCTCCCCTCTGTTCAGCCACTCTCACAGGGCTCTTCAAAGAGTGACAGGCCCAGATCAGGGGCTATGAGCATGCCATGCACACGACAGGATGGCCCTACAGCAACCAGGATCATTGCCAAATTCTTAGAGTGAGGATACTGTTTAATATCTATAAATACCTGTCTATGCAATGACTTTCAAAGTAAATTGTAGCATCACTAGGTGAAGAGGTCTGACTAGGCCCTGCTGGGTCCACAGAGGGCTTCCAGGAGCCACCACCCGGTGCTAAACTCTGGACGTGGTCTCATTCCATCATCATCAGAATCTAGATAGCAGCTGCATTATCATCCCTCATTTACAATAGAGAAAACTGAGGCTTAGAAAGGTTAAACCAAAATTACCTCTGTGGTAGCCTGCTTGATTGCTGTTGCTGTCTCTCTCTCTCTCTCTCTCTCCCCTCTTTCTTTTGGTGGGGGCTGAATTCTAGGGCCTTGTATATAGTAGGCAAGAACTCTACCTCCAAGGTACACTGCCTGCCAGCCCTTAAAAAAATTTTTTTTTTTTGGTACTGAGGATTGAACTTGGGTCCTTGCGCTTGCGAAGCAGGTGGCGGCACCACTGAGCTAAATCCCTGGCCCTACATTTTTTTTTTTTTAATTTAAAAATAGGGTCTTGCTGGGCCAGGGATTTAGCTCAGTGGTGCCGCCACCTGCCTCCCAAGCGGCAAGGTTCTGAGTTCAATCCCTGATGCCAAAAAAACTTTAAAAACAAATAAAAATAGGGTCTTGGTAAGTTGCCCAGGATGGCCTATAACTTGCAATCCTCCTGCCTCAGCCTCCAAAGTGGCTGGAATTACAGGTGTGCGCTACTATGCTAGGTTCACAGTGGTAATCCCTGAGCCCAGGCCTCACTGGCTGAGGAGTGTGCTGCCTTCCTGCAGCCTCACTAGGTGGGTGACCTCCCCTGGGCCAGAAGCATTGATTTAATTCCCTTGTGCTCTGGGTAGTAAGAGCTTTACTGCCAATGGCCGGGACCCCCACCTTAATCGCAGGACCCCTTGTAACACACCCTGAGGCTGCATTTAGCTGACCAGACCTTCCCTTCTTAGGCAGGGAAGCCAGGTCCCAGAGAGGGGAGGGGCCTATCCAAGGTCACCAAGGGAGTATAGCAAACGACCATCCAGGGGCCACATTTGGAGAGAACTAGGGGATGGTCATTGTGTGGCTTCAGCTCTCAGCCCTGGGGCTCCTGGCACGCTGGGCCTGGCAGGGACAACAGGAGCAGCTGTAGTCACTGAAGCACCCACAGCTGGGCGGCTGAGCTTGCTGCCAAGGAAACTGGTTGTTTCCCTGGCAGTAAAATATTGATCTTTCCTTTTTTGGACCACTCAATTACCAGGCTTCCCCTTCTATTTCTGTTGCTTTTCTCTTGAGGCTGATTTCCCCCATTCATTCCCCAGGGTCGCTTGCTAGCTCAGACTGGCTGTCCCTTTGCTCTGCTCTCTGGGCCTGTGCCCATCCACCCACCCCTCCCTCAGTTCAAGCTCTGCAGGCCAGATGGACTCCAGCAAAACCCTGCTTCCCTAGTGGCATCTGAACAGGGGAGATAACTGGCTTATCTTGCTGGGCTGAGGCTCCCTCTGCTAGCCCCGGGGCCAAAAAATGATAGCCGCTCCTAGTAGTAATCAAATCAAATGCTGAGTGCCTCTGCCTTGGGGCCAGGCATTGTTCTAAGCACTCTGTACATGTGCATTTATTTAAGGCTCTCAACCACTCGGACAACAGAAACTATAATTGTTCCCACTTTACAGGTGAGAAAACAGTCACAGGAAGACGCAGATATTCAAGGTGAAGGTCATATAGCTTATAGGAGGCAGGTGAACATAGGCAGCTTGGCTCCAGAGTTCCTGCTCTTACCCAGTAATTATTATTTCTACTAAAATAATTATGATCACTACTATTATTAGCACAAGTTGAGGGGGCTTGCTCTGACCAGGTAAAGAATAAATCTGTAGGGCCAGGGATTTAGCTCAGTGGTTCTGCTGCCTGCCCCATAAGCCCAAGGACCTGAGTTCCAACCCCGGTACCAAAAAAAGAATAAATCTGTATTCTGTTCTCTTTTCAGCTAGAAAAACTATCTGTGGCACATGAGACCCTTGCTTAGGAATTTGAATGTTAAGGGGAAAATTAATTTTAAGATGCACTGCTAGCCAGGTGTGGTGGCACACAGCTGTAATCCCAGCACTCTGGGAGGCTGAGGCAGAAGGATTGGAAGTCTGAGCCCAGTCTTGGCAGTTGAGCAACTTAACAAGACCCTTTCCCAAAATGAAAAATAAAAAGGGCTGGAGATGCAGCTCAATGCAAAGGCCCTGGGTTCAACTCTCAGTACCAGAAAAAAAAAAAGTTGTACTGTGAAAGCAGAGGCTGCCACAGACACAGGCTATAGATGGACTTAACTTTGCTAATTAGATGTCAACATTCAAAAACAAGGCAGGGCCAGGGATGTAGCTCAGTGGTGCTGCGCCTGCCTGGCAAGCACAAAGTCCTGAGTTTGATCCCTAGTACCAAAAAAACCCCCAAAACAACCAAGGCAGCCTCCTGGCTCTGGCTGGTAAATACACTGTGGCCTGTCTCTGCTGCTGGTCACAACTAAGAACCCTTATCAGATGATATACAAGAGACAAGGACCCTGTAAAGTGGATGGCTCAGATTCCAGAACCACATAGCAGCTATAAAGAGAAAAGTCTCCAATAGAAATTCTCTTTTCCCAGAACTTGCGGGGCTGAGGCAAGAGGACCACAAGTTTGGGGCCAGCATGGGCTATACAGTGAAACCTGATCTCAAAAAACAAACAAATAGAAAAACCCCAAACTCTCTTTCTGATGAGAAACTGGGGAAGGGGTCCCTTTTGGACAAACAGAATGAGAGAAAAGTTCTGTATTTTGTTTGTTTATTTTTCTCTCTCCCAGTTCCCTTCATACAAGGCAAATCCAGAGCTGGTGGTGGCAGCGGTCACAGCAGTCATGCCAAGGGACGCAAAATTCTGAGCGAGGAAGAATCTTTCTCCCTGGAAAGAGAAATTAGGAAAAGGGGCCCCAGGGTGCTGGTGAGGGTGAGACCACAGAGGAGGGAGCTGGGGAACGAAACTCAATGAAGTTCCCTTTGAAGACCTGGGCCTAGCACTGAGCCTCGCATGTGTGGAATGAAGCAGAAATAACAACCCAAAGGCTTTCAGAATGGACCACAGTGTAGGGTGGACAGACTAGCCCCTGGGTGTGCACTCTTGGGGTGCATCTGAATAGCCCTGTATAAAGGCTTTGGAAACTGAACCAGCCAGCATTAAAAGGACAGATCCCAGAGGAAGCCAGATCTGAGGCTCCAACCTAACTGGGGTTATTTCCTTTAAAAACAAACCAACATGATACTGATGGTCCCCAGAGAATTTTAACAGGAGCTAGAATTTCATAATATAATATTCAAAATGGCCAAGACAATCCAAAGTTACTTGACATACAAAGACAGAAAAAGATGGCAGCAATGTACGAGGGAAAAGACAGCCCATAGCATTATGGTTTAGACCAAGAACTCTCATGCACTCAGATCCAGGGCTTTAGGTGCTACAGCTGAATGCGCTGTTAGGAAGTGGGGCCTGGTTGGAAAAGGTGGGTCACTAGGGGTGTGGTCTGGAAAGGTACATAACCCTCCCTGGCTCCTCCCTTCTCCAGCTGCTTCCTGGCCACCATGATGTGAGCAGTTTCCCTCTGCACCAGGCACTTCTGTCATGCCATTTCTGCATTTGAACCTGCCCACCATGAAAATCTGAAACTGTGAGCCAAAATAAACCTTTCTTCTTTAAGTTGTAGGTGCCGAGTATTGTGTCTCAATAACAAAAAAGTGACTGAAATAGACACCAACTCCAATATGACCAGATGTTATCATTGTTAAACAAAAACATTGTTTTTTGCTTTGTCTTGTTTTTGGTGCTAGGGACCACGGTAGACAAAGATCTTAAAGCAATTAATGTAACTACTTAACACGAGGTAAAGGTGAACATTCTTGAAATAACTAGAAATATAGAAATTCTCAGCAGAAAAAAGAATCAGTAAAAAAGAAGTAAATGGCCATTTTAAAACTAAAAAAATACAGTATCTGAAATAAAAATGTTCTCTGGGTATAATCAATAGCAGGTTGCAGATGACAGCAAAAAACAGTGATAAAACTACAGAAATTAGCTAGGAGTCAACTAATCTTTTTTTTTTTTTTTTGGTACCAGGGATTGAACTTGAGACCTTGCACTTGTGAGGCAGGCAGTGGAACCACTGGGTTAAATCCCCAGCCCCTAGAAGTCATCTAATCTGAACAAAGAAAATAACCAAGGAGTAAAGGGTCAACTCACTAAGGAGACATAACAACACTAAATATGCATGTAGCTAGTAACAGAGCTTCAAAATACATGAAGAAAAATTAATAGAACTAAAAAAAGCAATGGACAAGTTGGTAATTATATTTGGAGACTTCACCAGTTCTCTCCAGTAATCAATATAACTAGTTAGATGGAAAATCAACAAGAATATAAAAGACCTGAACACTACTACTAGCCAGGGTAACCTGATTAGCCTGCAAGGAACCCAATGGGAGCAGAGCAGATACATTCTTCTCATGTGGACAGAACACTCACCAAGGCAGATCATATCCTTGCCCTGTAACAAACTGATGTAAAAGAATTAAAATCATACAAGGTTTGTGTTCTGACTATAATGGACTTAACGCCAGTAACAGAAAGACATTGGAAAATCCAAACACTTGGGAATTAGCGTATGTCTAGCTGGCTATGGTAGTGCCCACCTGTAATCCAAGCTACTCTGGAGGCTGAGGAAGGAAGATCAAAAGTTTGAGTTGACCTTGGGCGACACAGTAAGACCTTCTCTCAAAATAAAAAGGACTGGGGGGTGATGAATCTGTAACCAGCCTGGTGTGTGTGTCCGTCTGTGTGTGTGTGAAGATTCAAATTACTAATATCGAAAATGAAAGCAGTGATATCACCAGTCCTACAGACTTTGAAAGGTGGCTGGGGAGTTAGCTTAGGGGTAGAGCCCTTGCCTCACCTGTACAAGAAATTGGGCCTGATCCCTGCACCCAAAACACAGAAAGAAAGTGGGGTGGGGGCAGGCTGGCTAACAAGGAAGCACTGAGAACACTCTAACTCATGCAAGAAGAAGCAAATAATCTCAATAATCCTATAGCTATTAAAGAAATAGCTTCATACTTTATATCATTCCAAAAAAGTAAACCTCACACCCAGATGTTTTCACCAAATATTTAAGATATATATACAATCTCTTTCAGAAAACAAGAGAACACTTCTCTACTCATTTTATGAGGCCAACCTTGCCCTAACCAATCTCTCATAACACAGATTCAAAGATCCTCACCAAAATATCAGCAGTTAAATCCTGAAAAATTATGTGGAATATATATATATAATAAAACAAGACCACAGCTAGATAGGGGTTACCCAGCAAGGCTGGTTCAACATTTGAACTGTGCTGCCCTGGTTCTCTGATGCTCGGAGCCTGTCATTGGTGACATATCTGTTACTGCCTTGCTAAGGAGTCCAGCCGGCCTTCTGGTGCTCCTGGGGAGAGGACAGGGAGGGACAGAGCCCTGCCAGAGCTGGGGTGTGGCAGGGTGAGGTGGGGGGGCACCTGGACCCATGCCTCTGGGGACATGGGCACCAAACATGGCATGGGGCATCACATTTCCCAGGACTGTCCTGTTAGGCACTGGCCAGATGAGGGAAGGGGGCAGCAGGCAGCACAGGGAGGGCGAGAGAGGCAGGTGGGTGGGGGTGGCTGGAGCAAGGTGGGAGGTGGGCCTCGTGAGGGAGGAGACAGGGTCTGAAGGAGAAGGGCTGGCAAGCAGGCTTCCTGGTCACAGCAGGAAGAATACTGCCACTGCTAGGTAGGTGTGCCCCTGCTGGAAGCTCCTGCCCTGTGACATGGCTGTCACTCCCCTTCAAAGCCGTGAAGGCCCCAGCAGGCAAGGCGGGAGGAGGAGGGGCCCCAAGACACCCTGGGCCTGGGCCTGCTCCCCTTCCAGGTCCCCGGCCACCCAGGGGGCTCTGCCTTCCCTTGGGGCCCCAGGGTGAGATGCTTCCAGCTGCCTGTTTGTTCTCATTCCCAGGCAGCCCAGCTGCCAGGTGTCAGGGCCACAATGGGGCCCTGTGTCCTAGAGCCCTAGGGACAAAGGGCGCAAGCAGATGCTGCTCTCCCTATTAATTCTCCTGACAGGAGGGCAGGGGAGCCAGGCAAAAGCTTCACAAAACCAGGCACAGATGAGGGATGAGGGAGGGGTTTCCAAAGAGGGTCCTGCCAGGCCCTGCACCCCTGAGACAGGCCTTGAAAGAGCTCACCTGTCCTGCCAGCCCCCAAGCCTGCTCCCTCCTTGTGAAGGGCTGTTGCTCGGAAGAGTGACAGCATTGGACCTCGTGTCACAGCCCATGCCTGGGCTTCGACGTGTACCCATTGTGTCACCTTGGGCAGGTCATCTTATCTCTGTGGGCCTCAGCTTTCACATCTAGAATGTAATACCAGCCATCTCTACAGCCATTGTGAGGATCAGATGAGGTGATGACTGAGTGAAGAATAAACACCGTCCTAGACTAAAGGGTGCCATGCAAGCATCAGGTGCACAAAGTGCATAAAGAGGGATGTGAGGGTCACCCTCAATGGTGACAGCAGGCCAAGGTGGGCCAGCCTGCAGCTCTGGCCAAGGTAATGGGGTGGGAGGTCTCTAAGACCCCGTGCAAGCTCAGGCATGGTGCACTTCCCTGGCCCTAGGTCTATCACAGCTCTATCATCTGCGTAGTCTTGGTGAACCCCTTCCTCCCCTTCTCTGAGCCTCAGTTTCCTCATCTGGAAAATGAAAGCATTGGATGACATTAACATTGGAGGTCTCTGCCAGCTTGGAAGTCCATGTGATTGTAATGTTTTCTCAGGGATGTCTGTGGTTGGAGGAAGAGAAGAAAACCAGAGTAGAGATAATAGGAATGAAGGGCTAGGAGGCAAACATCTCCATCCAATGCAGCTTCACCAGGCACCAAGTAAAGGGCTTGGGGACCCATAGGGGGTCCCTGAGGAAGGACTCAACCTCTTTGAGCCTTTTACTTACCTACTTCTCCAAAGCCAAAAAATGACAAGGACTGCAGCAGATCCTCTTAGTCACTTCTATGCTGCTCTCTCCTCTGTAAGGCAGCCCTAATGTGGCTGAGGTGTCCACTTCCTCTTTGATCAGGTCCCTCAGGGGACCTCAACCCTGGGACATACTGATTGGGTGAAGCTAGAGAGGTAGGCTCATACCCCTTGCTAGTGATTGGTTTAGGCAAAGGCATGCTAAACATCTCAGGCCAATGAGACCTGAGGAGACATTTGCTGGGGAGACATCTGGGAGAGACTGTGTGATGGTGTGTGTAACGGGTGGGGGAGTACCATCCACACAAAGTGCTTCCCTCCCTTCTTCACTTGGTGGAGAGTAGACATCATCTTGGGCTACATGGGGAAGAACCAATACAAGAGGGCTGGGCCCTGGTTAATGCCTCTGCCCCTGAAGGAATCAGCCCTGGAGCTGCCCTACTTTAGGCCCTCATGTTGTTTAAAAAAAAACAACAAATTGCTAAGTGTGGTGGTGGATACCTGTAATCCCAGCTCTCAGGAGGCTGGAGCAGAAGGACTGCTGTAAATTTGAGGCCAGCCTGGGCTATATAGTAAGTTCAAGAACCTAAACTACATAGTGAGACGCTGTCTCAAAAAACAAAGCAAAAAACTTCCTCAAGTCATTTTGTGTCGGTTCCTGGTTCTTAGAGCTAGAGGGCCCTGATAAAGAACCCTTCCTCTAGGACGAGGCAGGCCAGGAGGGAGGCTTCATGCCCAATGGAGGGGTGGTGTAGTACTGGGGTGCCTCTGCCCCGGAAGGCCAGGCATGCAGAAGGGCCAGCCAGCACCATCACCCAGCTATGCAGGACCTAGGCACTGCTTCCTGGGCAGTGTTGGCTCCTCCAACCACAGCTAG